TCAGTGGTGGGTTAAGGTAAGTGACCTACATACATAAGGATAAGATACAATCCCATTGACTTTAAAGAACAACTGGTAAGCTCCCTGATGACTGATGATTGATGTGAATTTTCTCTTCCTTTTTATTTTTTTTCTTCTCCTGCTTATTTTTATTATTGAAATCCTTTCAGCACTCAAATAATCTGTGTCTTAAACTCTCTCCACTGCTGATGATCATCTTTGATGAAACTATACTTCTGGGAAAATGAAAAGTAAACTCATTTTTAAGTTTTTAAAGGGCAATGTATTCTGCATTGCAAGGTATTTTTAGCTATTCAATAGCTAAATCCTCTTGGATAGTGTCCAGCGTACACCTGCTTCATAGCACATTTTGCTCTCTAGAAAATGAAGGTGCTTTCATAAAGTTTCAGAATTGTTCACAGGGTGGCCAATCAGTTCTTTTAGTGGAATAATGACATATTTAGAGGCAAAGGAAAACTAGTACAGATTTTTGTTGAAGTGGTTTATTTTTCTTTAATATTAAGTTGATAAGATTTAAAAGAGGACAGAAAAGGAAGAGAAGTGGCCACGGGAAGAACATGAAGGAAGGAAAAAAACACTGGAAGCGGGGACATGTATGGACATGCCATTGATATCTCATATTTTTTAGGGCTTGAAATCATGTCTCCTGTGTTCAGGTGCTCAATAAAAGATGTGTGGTGATTTTAGAGGAGGTAATTAGGGTGCAGAGATCAGAATTCAGGAGACAATAAAGGAGAAATTGTAACAGTGCAAAGTATTAATTCCTCTTTATATAGTATTGTATTGTAACAGTGCAAAGTATTAATTCTTCTTTATATAGTATTATATTGTTACAATATCTCCTTTATTAATACTTTGCACCTGAACACAGGAGACATGATGCTGGGTAGAGTAGAGGGACAGCGCAGGAGGGGAAGACTCTCTATGAGGCGGATTGATTCAGTGACTGGGGTAATCGGGATGGGTGTGTCAGAGGCAATGCGATTGGCACAGGATAGAGCAGGGTTTAGGGCTGTTGTACAAAGGGTCGATATGAGTCGCAAACCACTCGACGGCACATAACAACAACAACAACAACATATTTATATAGAGAGGGAGGTCTGGTGGCCTAGTCTGTAGGGAATTCCACCACTAATCCAAAGGCTGCACCTCTCTGGTGGTTTAAATCCACTAGAAGCTCGATGGGAGAAAGATTAGAGATCTTCTCCTGTGGAATCCTGAGAGGTTCACCTATGAGTTGGTTCAGACTAGATGGTAATGAGACAGACAATGAGATAGTCTTTCTTCTGGCAGAATTTTTTATACATCACATGCATTTTTTAAATGATCTTAGGACAAGACATGAAGTCACTAATATATTACATCTTTATTTCATTCAAGTGCAATTAAATCTGGAAGCAGATTTCTAGATCACTAATTCAGACCAGGGACTTGACACTGATTTACCCACATAGATTCACAGACTCCCTTCACTTCACAGAGTAGACCTCAGTCATCTTCTTGATTCAAAGCCCATTTTTCTAGATGAGAAAATTGAAGATTTTTTTTAATGGATGGAAATTTACTGTTTGCAATAAAAAAGGAAAAGATCAGTTTTCATTCCTTTTATATCCCCAACATTGTATAATTACTGCTATTGAGCCCCTTGAATTTTCACTGGTGTTACCCTCTTGCTTTTATAGAGTGAACTTTGGAAAAATAGAGAGTGTCCATAAGAAATACGGGTCAAAGTTCCAAAAATAGGTTAAAGTTCCAAAATTATTCTCTATCCCAATTTTAATAGTCAGGTGTACTCAACTCTTCCTATTTTGCAGATTGAAACTCTTAATACCCAGACAGATGAATATTTTTAGTCAATTTATCTTTGATCTATGGAGGATGTTAAAGCAGAATTATTTCTTAAGTCATTGACCAATAGTTTTACCACTGTGTCATTATACTTTATGTAGAACAATGGAACTAGAGATTAAAAATGAAAATATGTGAAATTCATGACTTCCATGGTGAAAGCCCAGTAGCTGGCTGGGTAGCTAGGCAAGCACCATATGATCATTGTGGTTGAGTTCTTGACATCATTTCTTCAGCTAATAGTGTTAAGTTCCTATAAAGGATTCATAGAGCACTTGACCTTAAAATAATGCAAGCAACTTGGTGCTCAGAGGTAGCTCACAGTTATGAAGCATTATGAGAAAAGAAGGCTCTGGGCAATAAACTTTCATGTTTTCTCACCTAATTCAAATAACTAAGATTGCTAAACAATGCTTGGAGTTACAAAATTATATTTAAAAGGAAAAAAAGATATTTAAAAGAGTTCATCAGAAAATTAGTTTTTTTACCTTTAATATTAAAAACTTTTCTTAAAAGTGGGCTAGTTCAAGATCTTGTCTGTATGGAAGTAAGTGAAGTAAACCCAGGAAAGTGTTGTTTTTGAGTTTGGGAGTCATAATCTACACTCTTTCAGACTATTTAGAACAACTTATGTTTTTATTACTTATAATTAGGAAACTCTGATGGCCTAGTGGCAAGAAACTGCACTGCAATCTCAAAGGCATGTGGTTCAAGGCCAACAGCTGCTCCATGGAAGAAAGAAGAGCAATCTCCTCTCATGCCATTAACTGACTTTCTATAACTAATGTTTCTCTAAGTTTATAAAATTTCCATAGGTATGAGGTTTAGGAAGTGAATGCTGCTTCTGCTTCCAAACCTGTTTTATGACTGGGAGCTCTACCAAACACTGTCCACATTGGGAAACCATTATGGCATTTTACATCCCAATGGTAGAAGGTTCTGCATCACAGCAAATTCAGATTACCTCAGTACAGCAAATTGGCAAAGAGTTATGTACAAAGTAGAATAATATTCCTCCAAAATATAACAACACTAGTCTCAGTCAGTGGTTAAGTGTCATCAGGTCAAATACTACTCATAGCGACCCTATGGGAAAAAAAAAACGACCTGAACTCTGTTCTAGAATTAGCATCACTTCTTTATGTTGATAGTGTTTATAGAATTTCCAGAGACATCTGGTTTAGGAAGTGGATGCCACTTCTGTTTCCAAACCGGAATCAATCTGGAAGTTCTTCCAAACACCTTCCATGATGGGTCACCATTGTAGTGTTTGACACAGCTATGGCCTAACGTTAAGCATCACAGCAACTCCAGTAAGCTAACATTAGTAAATTTTTAATTAATAAATCAAGATGTGAGAAACCAGCTTCTAGAGTGGAGCCACTGCACAGGGGCCTCCAGGCCTGCCACTGACTGAACCCATTACTATGGAGTTTTAAAGACATACCGAATGACTGCTGATGACTATGACAAACCAAGTATTCCCTCCCTCCTTGAGTCTCGTTGACTAAAATGAGCAAGCAAATTTATTAAATAGTAAGCAAAAAAAAAAATGCACTTACAGTTCAGAATACCATACCATTAAAATACATATTTTCTACTCTTTCAATGATACTCAAGAAAGAAAAAAAATGCAAATACAACTATTGTTGTTATTGTTAGGTACCATCAAATTGAGTATGACTCATAGTGACTCTATGAACAACAGATCAGAACCCTGTCCTATCTTTGCCATCCTCATCATCTCTGATGTACTTGAGCTACTGCTACAGTCACAATGTCAATGCATCTGATTGAGGGTCTTTCTCAGTTTCACTATCTCTCCACCTTTCCAAGCATGATGACCTTCTCCACAGAATGCCTGAAGTATGTGAGGTGAAGCTTTTGCATCTTTTCCTCCAAAGGGCTCTCCAGCTGAAAATACAACTAGCTAGCTGTATAATATTTCTAAGGCAAAAAAAAAAAATCTATTTAATCTTTGAGGTGATCAACTTACATCCAGAAGTCTGAAATTTGATTACTCTCTCTCAGTAGCAGAATTAAAATAATTATATGTCATAGCATTATTCTGCTTGTTATGATATTAAATAGATATTAAACAAGGTCTCCATCAGACAGGCTCTTTTGAGATACATGGTCTGCTTTTTCTAAGACACAGTGGACCCTCTCTAGTTTTTCATGTAGCCAAAACATAAGTAACTTTCCTGGTTAAACCGCAACGGATCCATGGTTAGATTACTCTCATTGTATACGTTTGTATTTTTTACTGGCAAAATATTTTTAAGATGATGAGTCCCGTAATTCTTTAATATAAAACAATCTTTTATTTACTCTAGTATTCTCCTTTGCAACCCTAAGGGTTTAGAAAGAGGGCAATTCTGTTTTTGGAGTAGGTTTTTAACATCACTGGGAATTTTAATTGACCTTTTCTGGATTTTGTCCAGCTTTATGTACCATCTATGAAAGGCAATGGACAGAATTTTATTCAACATTACTAGAGGAGTGCACTGAGATAGGATAGCTTGGTTATGTTCATTTGTTTTACTATTTTAGATTGTAGCCAGTTTGCATGGCATAGTATTTCTGTATTCTATTCTATTATATCATATAATATTTCAAGACTTTATACTTAGAAAGATGGGCAGTCTCCTCCCATTGCTATTTACAGCCTTAGAAAGTTGAGGGATGGTCTTATGAGCTGGAACTAACTTGCTGACATTGAGAATATGAATACTTTGGAGAAAGCTCTTTTTGAAGAATAACTATTAACACACTATTTATATTCATAGAGGCAGGTGTTTGGATTATTTTTTCCATTGAATTAATTATTTTACATTTAGTTAACATATGCATTACAGCTACTTTTCTGTGGTGATGTTTCCGGTTAACTATCTTATTGCCCAGTGGAGCTTAGTGGCACTTGGAAATAGCACTTAGACACTATGAGTTTCTATGCAAAGGGCTGTGTGCATCATAGCCACACCTATACTGGGTTTAGCATACAGACAATCAATCAATGATAGCTATTATTCTTATTGACCATTTAGTATATTTTAGCTCTTTCCAACTGTTTTTGTGAATATCCCCAAATGATATCTATAATAGCTTTTAAATTTTATCTTTGATTTAGCATGAGTGCTCTCTTCCTGATGTCCATGATCTTTTGCCTTCTATGTGGGCAAACAATGTCACTTTGTGTTCCTCATGAGTATACAATACACATCGAAAAGAGAGAATGTGCTTTTTGCCTAACCATCAACACCACCATCTGTGCTGGATACTGCATGACACGGGTATGTAGTTCATCTCTCTTCTTTCAGCTGTAAGTTAGATTGAACCCTGTCTTAGCCTAAGCAAGTCTCACTGATTCCAATACACCTAGTCCCATTGCCCCAGTTACCATGTCAATCCATCTGATCTGGGGAGCTTCCTCTCCTGCATGGCCTCCACCCTTCCAAGCATTATGTCCTTCTCCAAGGACTGGTCCCTCCTGACCACGTGCCCCAAAAGATTGACCTAGGATGACTCTATTCCTATCCAGAAAGAATATGAGATCAATCATCACCTAAGTTCTAAACTCTAGTGGTTATCGGCTCCTTAGAACCAGAATGCACAGACAATAGTAATATTTTCACTTCTCCATATTTACTTATACTTTATCTTATTTGTGTAATAAGAGATATAAGATTGTCAGTTTTTTTCTCCATGGGGTTCAGTATAGAAGTACTGAGTGGGTATTGGGTCTTGTCCCATTTGTGAGAGAGGACACTTGACAGCAAATAAAAGTGAGTTGAAGTTGATCTCATTCCTTATATATATGTTTTCTAGATTTTCATCACATAATGGAATTTTTTCCATTTTTTTCCTCAGGATATTAATGGCAAGCTGTTTCTTCCCAAGTATGCGCTGTCACAAAATGTTTGTACATATGGAGATTTCATCTACAGGACTGTAGAAATACCAGGATGCCCACACCATGTAACTCCCTACTTCTCCTACCCTGTTGCCTTAAGCTGCAAGTGTGGCAAGTGTAATACAGACTATAGTGACTGTATCCATGAGGGCATCGATGAAAACTACTGTACCAAACCTCAGAAATCCTATGTAGTGGAGTTTTCTCTCTGACTTAAATAGAATTGTAATTTGCAGTTTAACTAAATGCATCTATCTGGAATAAAACTAATAAAGTATCAATATATTCCACAATACCTTATGCGTGTTTTGAGTACTGTTCCATCCGTGCACACACCCATACACACGCTAGAGGGCTTATGGGATTTTAGAATAAAAAGTAAATGAAAGAGTCTTTTAACTCATATGATGAGTGGTTTCCACATGAAAAGACACTCAAACTCAAACTCACTGTTAGTTTTTGTTTGTTTTGTTTTTTTCCAAGCATAATGTTCTTTGATCCCTCCTGATAACATGCCCAATGTATGTGGCATGAAGCCTATCCATCCTAGATTCTAAGGAGCATTCCAAAGGTTCATCTAGAAGATATATTTGCTTATTCTTCTGGCAGTCCTTGATCTATTTAATATTATTCATTAATGGCCTAATTCCAAGGCATCAACTCTTTATGCTAAATGGATCTCTAATCCATTGCTATTGAGTCAGAACCAATTCATAACTGAATTTCCAGAGGGTTTCCAGAGGCTGTGAACTTCACAGGAAGAGATTGCTTATCTTTTCCCCTTGAAGCATTTGATGGATTTGAACTGCCTGCCTTTAGGATGGCAGGGCAAGGTCTTCCTTATTCATTGTTCAGCTTCACATGTACAAGAGATAATCATGAATGTCATAGCTCAGGTCAGGCAATCTTAGTCCTCTAGTTTGCTTTTTAACATTTTAAAAAAGGTCTTTAGCAGGAGAATGTTGTTGTTAGGTGCTGTCAAGTTGAGTACAACTCATAGTGATCCTATGAACAAAAGATCTGAACCCTGTTCTATCCTGTGTCATCCTCACACTTCCTGACACAAAAAAACCCTTTGCAGCAGTCACTGTATAAATCCATCTGGTTGAGGGTCTTCCTCTCCTTCCCTGACCCTCCACACTTCCCAGTATCATGTTCTTCTCCAGAGAAATATATTTAAAGCATGTGAGGCAAAGCCTCAGCATTCCTGCCTCCAAAGAGCACTCTAGCTACACCTTCTCCTGGACATATCTGTTTGTTCTCTTGGCCCTCTATGGATGGATGTTCAGTGCCCCCTCCAACACCACAGCTCAAATGCTCATGGAAACTTGCTTTGAGCAGACTCACCCAAGAGAGGGCGGGGAGCTTGGCCTTGTCACATACAGTGAATGTGAGAGCACTAAGAGTTAGGTGGAGATGGTAATGTGATTAGAACTTGGAAAAATACAGGGCACCCAGTTACTGGAAACATTTACTTCCAAAGCAGGGTTGGCATGAAGGTGGGTAAAAAAGAAATGTATGAAATCTGTAATGTAAAAATTCATCTTAATCATGCAAATGTGCTGGATAAAACACTCTTCAACACTCACCAAGCAGTATATGAACTATTTAATTAAATTACCCTGGTGGGCCAATTGACCTATGAAAATTATACCCAGAAAGGTCAATTTACAAAGCTTAGAAAAGAGGCCACGATCATTTTACATGTGGAAGTCTAAATCCTTCATAGTCCTTCAAGTAATAGGAGATACCCTCCAACATTTAAACCAAAAGCAACTTGTGCTGTTTTGACTTTTCATGTCAGGAAAATGATCATAGAAGATTTTACAAACAAGAGAGTGTACTGAGGGGTCCAATAGAGTCTAGTAATCTTAAACTCTAACCTAAATCTTTTATCAGTATTGAAATGCTGTTTCCCCACAAATACCTTTAGCAAGTGATTATTTATGTCTCTTTTCCTTCTTTAGATATTTTTCCATGGGAGTTAAGTTTCAACATTGTTGTTGTTGTTGTGTACTGTTGAGATGGAACACCCCCCCGCCCTCCGCCAGCAGGTTTTCGGAGGCAGTAAATAGCATGGAGGAGATGGGTCATCTTTCTCTTGTGGAGCAACTGGTGGATTCAATCATGTGCCTTGCGGATTGCAGTGCAGCCTCTTACCAGTGGTGGCTTCCCAGCCACCAGAGCTCCTTAGATATGTCAATTAAGGTATCTTGACTCTGGTGACCTAACGGCGAGAAGCTGCAGTCCTGAAAGCACGTGGTTCAAGGCCACCAGCTGCTCCAAGGGAGAAGGATGGGTAATCTCCTTCCCTGAATTAATTGCCTCTGAAAACCTGCAGGAGGGTTAGCTCTGGGTTGGTTCTGACTTTATTATGCACAACAACAATAACAACAACAACAACAACAATAACAGTGTCTAGTTCTCTCTGGTGGCTTAGAGGTAAGGAGCTGCACTGCCAACTCAAAGGCAAGTGGTTCAAATCTACCAGCTGTTCTGTGGGAGAAAAATGGGCAGTTTCCTCCCATGCGATTTACCGCCTCTGAAAACCCACTGAAGGGTCAGTGAGGAGCAGGTTCTGACTCGGTGGGATGTAAACAGCAGTGCCCTACTGAGTTGGCCTCCAACAAGAGCAGCCTCCATTTTCTTCCATCCACACTGCCACCATCAACGTGACTATCACCTTGGTCAGCAGGGCCAGTTAGAGTTGTATTCAGTCAAGTGTCTTTGTAAATGCCTGTAATTGACAGTGCAGGGATGAAGGAGGGTTGCGGGATAATAGTAGCATGGTTGTTCTGCAATAGGGAAGGTATAAATAATTCCCTCTTTATATATTTAAAAAGGCCAGGAACTTTCACTATCTAAGGGTCCCTGGTGACCTGGTATAGAAGGAGTTACACTGTTAACCCAAAGGCTGCATCTCTCCACCAGCAGTTCTTGGAGAAAACTGGGTAACCTCTTTCTGTGCTCTTTACAGGCTTAGAAACCCACTGGAAGGTCACTTATGAGTTGGTTCTGCCTTGACAGCAATGGCTTTGAGTTTCTGGTGGCACAACTATTAAGCACCCAATGACCAATAGTTTGAACCTGTGAGTCACTCTGTAGTAGAAAGTTGTAGCTAACTATTCCCACAGATTTCAGCCTAGAAAACTCCATGGTTATGGCTATATTAAAATAATCTCTTTCCAGATACCAATTTGGCCTTTATATCTTCATATCATTTGATAACATGGAAGCTTAATGCTGCAGGATTACAAATTTTCTGAGAACAGTTTCTCAAAGGTTAATTTTTTTATTAATAAGAAAAAGCAAAGCATAACATTCAAATTTAACTGGCTCTAGTCACAAGTGACCTTCATAGACTCTGAAAAAAAAAATTTCCAAAGACGAACTGTGGAAAACCTGAGACGTTTGGGGAAGTTCCTCATAAACAGTTCAGCTCAGAAGAAGTTATTTAAATGGGCTTCCTCCACCTTCAGGGAGGGCTGGACTGGCCAAGGGCCTGGTGAGCCTGGGCCTCTACAGACCACAAAGCTCCTCAGAGTGGGTGCCTCACAGACAACTTTTTTCTAGTAGATGCACATATGCTTTCTACTGAACTATTCTTGAAAGGGGAGCTGTCCAGGACAGCTTTAGTTTTAGATGTTGTTAGATTGGGGAAACGTTTAGAGATTGCTGTGATTGACAATTTGCCTCATTGGATCTGGAAGCTTGCGGAGGGCTTTTGTTTTCTTTGGATTTTAGAGGGAGAATGAATAGAAAGCTGGGAAATGGACAGATGAGGAATCACTGAATGTTTAATAGCAGAAATGTAGGCACCTTGGAATATCCTCTGAAATGATTCTTAAATATAATAGAAATTTAAAGGAATCAGTGTTGGTAGAGGAAGTTTGAAACTCAGTGCTTTTTTAAAAAGTCCGTCTTGTTTTTCATTTGACTTTGAAATATAAAGAGTTCTTTCACAACTGAATGGATTTGGGGTCAGTGCTCCGCCAATTTCTGCTTCTCTAACGGCCAAACTCTTTAGGAGAAAATGAGTGTACCAAAGTGGATATACTGGCAGGTAACAATGATGCTTTTTCGTAACAGAACTTCAGGTAATGAAAGCTTGTCTTTATATAAGAAATGCTGCTTTTCAAAGAAAAAAAAAAGGGGGGGAGCTCAGGTGGCCTACTGGCAAGAAGCTGTGCTGCAATCACAAAGGCGCATGGTTCGAATCCACCAGATGCTCAGCTGGAAAAGGAGGAGCAATCTCATCCTGTGCCAGTCAAATCAAACTCACAGATGCGCGCGCGCGCGCACACACACACACACACGCGCGCGCGCGCGCGCGCGCAATGCTGCTTTTTAAAAGTAGCCACTCTGATTCTAAAGGTAATAAAAATTATATTAATTGGGTAACTTCCACTGTTACGGTTGAATGTTGACCTTTTTTCTACCCTTTCATCATTCAGAATTAATTCCTACTTACTTTTAAGGTAATTTTGGTTTCACTTTCTCTTCTTCTGCTGACTTCCCTCCACCTGCTGCTTCTGCTTCCATAACATCCATTTATTTATTTCTTTTTCTATGGAAACTATATTTTGATTCAATACAGGTACAGAGGGTTTTTGAAGGCCTGTTTTTCGGTAGTGGATGGCCTATCCTTCTTCCTAGTCTGTCTTAATTTGGGGGCTCAGCTTTAAAGCAGTATTTGGCAGACAAGCTTTGTACTCCAAAGAGCTGGTGAGAGTGTGCAGGTAACAGATGAGGTTACCTCATCTGGGCCCACTGCTTTAGTGCATGGGCTGTGTTCCCACCTTCATGCTGTCCCTGCCTTGCCAGCATCCAGCTCAATTCACTCTCCCTGCCCCTCCAGCATTTCCCATTCCTTTGCCCACATCCAACTCTGGTTGATGGCTCTGATCTCCCACCCCTTCTGTCTTCCCATTTCCTCTCCACTCCTCTGAGATATTGGTGCTTCTGATGTGTTTTCAGTTCTAATTTTTCTTGCTCTTTCTACTTCCCTACTTCTTTCCTGAGGGCCCAGTGGAGGTCACCGTCCTCCCACAAGGTAACACACCCATGGTATTTACCATCAGATGAGAGCCTGGCAAAAAAAAAAAAAATCAAAATTTTCTCCTTTTCCATGCCTTTTGTTTCTACCAGGTTTCTCAGAATCTATGCTATCATCTTCAGCATGCTTGCTGAATGTAGTAATGTAGATCTGGAT